GGTTATTTGGGGTTTATTTGACATATCATGTTCCTATTTTTGGCTGGTTTGGTAACCTCTCTTATGCTTCATGTACATGCCATGTAAACCATGCTTACTAGCCTAGGTTGCATGTTGTTTTAGCCCCTCATGTTAGCATATTTTGGTTATGCCTTAAACTGATAATGTGCTTATTTTGGACTTCCTTAGCTCTATTTTTGGGTCTTGTGGTTGAATGATGTTAGTTTTGCATGCTTGTAGTTCAAGGTCCATGCTTAGCTTTGAATTTTGAGATCCATTCCATGCATATGCTGAGGTATTTTCATGCCTTAGGGTCATTTTTCATCAAATTTTAGAGCTTATATGAATGCCATGTTGTCATGTTTTCATATCTTTAAATGCGTTTGAAAGTTGGGCTTGTATGCCTCATTTACCGACCATTGAATGAGCTCCATTCCGTTGCATTCTGAGCCATCATTTTAGGCCATTTCCCCACTGTTTCAGACCTGCCTAGGGTCTGTTTAGGGTTGGTTTTGCCTTTGGTGCATTGCTTTGGGTACCTCTAGTGTAACGCATTTCATTAGTTTCGGTACCCAAGCCCCCTAGCTTGCATTGTGTGCCATATTTGCATGTTTCGGGACCATACTTCATGCTGTTTTAGAGCTGTAATTTATGCTATTCCATGTCATGTTTCATCCTTGCCATGCTTTGGTAGAGTGACATTCCATGCCTTAGGTTCGGTCCTTGGCATTCGTGCATGTGTGCACACATTTCGGTTGTCTCATTTTCATCTAATGGCCACTGATGTGAGTGTGGCTGAGGTCCACTCATGTTGGTGTAAGTCCATCGTATATCATGTATGCCATTTTAGTCCATAGCATTGCGTATGCTAGGTTGTATGTTAGAGCATTGTGTATGCCATGTTACATTACGTGCATCGTATATGCCATTTTAGTCCATAGCATTGCGTATGCTAGGTTACATGTTAGTCGCATTGTGTATGCCATCTCATTCTCATTTGCATTGTGTTTGGGATAGGAGTTAACCCGAGCACAGGAAACGAAGGACATTTCGTACTCCAAGTGACGGAATGTGTCTCAATTCCCGGTCGCCGACACTCTGAATTAACCATGATAGAGTCTAGGCCTTGTTGTGTTTATATGTGCATTCATTTCACATCGAGTCGTGCAATTCGACTCCTCAACCATTGTGCATCGAGAGGCGTGATTGGTGGCACGAGGATCGAGGTGTGCAAACATATGTAAAAATACTTTGCCATGCCCCTTTCTTGCTCTCTGTTGCAGCAAATCAGAAATCAGCAACTTTTTAAAGCCTTGCACAGCATTCCGAGATTAATTGCAAACACAGGCGAATCGGGGCATCGCAATGGATTTCTGCGCAAGGCAACTCGAGCATGCATCTTTCATCATTCGGAATAGAGCTGAGGCGGTCCATGAATTTGCATGCTAGTTTATTTGCTTTCCTAGTTAATTTGTTAATTAATTACGATTTTGTAATATTTAATTATTTATTCGGACTGTATTATTCTTTCGGACCCTCCGAGCGAGGGCACAATTGTAATAAGTGTGCGCGTGTGCGATGTATGTCTTCCAACCCCACGTCTTTCTCCCTTTTATTTACCAGCTTATGATGGTTAGATTAGGGCATGTTTCAACTAGCATATTTATGCTTGCATGCTTGCATCATTCATCTGTTTTGTATGCACCAGGGCTCGGCGCATCATACTAACTGCATTTGTATTTCATTTCCAAATTGAATACATGTTAGCTGTAGCATCGTCATATGCCATCTTAGAACAGCCGAGTCTATTGTAATTGCATTTTTGCATGTGTTGCATTAGGCATTTCTGTATAGTTAGGATCATGCATTGATTTCTAACTAGTTTCTGTTTTAGCTTGGAGTACTCGGTAAGTGTTTATGCTTTAGCATCCCTGCATGTGTGTGAGTGACTGCCATGATAGTATGCTTACCATGAGGCTAATTGCTTATGTGATATACCTGCCTGAATGCCTGTGGGTGAAGGTTGGGTTTTTTGGATTGAAACAATTCATTAATTGTGAGTTTTAAGCCCACTTGAGAGTGGCAAATCATCATGTTTTCTAAGCCCACCTGAAGGTGGCAAATCCACATTTTAGCCTCCTTGCGAGTAGCAAACCGTTTTCAAAACAAACATGAGATGTTTCGTTCCAATTCAAGCGACCCAGTCTATACTTGTATGCTATGCGCATCACGTAGTAAATCTAGGCTAATAACCGGAATAAGAATGCATAATGTTTTCAAAACTTGATATCATAGTTAGTAGAGGCCGATCTTTGATCGGGCGAGCGGGGGTGCTCACGAAGTGACCTTCCCCAATCGTACCCAAGTTCCCGAACCGAGGCAACTTTGGTGATGACGGACACGTGGCCTTAGGCAACGAGTCAGGGTTTCCTAAATTTTTCAAAATGAAATATTTAGATGGTGACTCTGTATCTGGCAAAGCAGTCCATGTTTGGCACTTCTTTCAAAAAAATCTATTTTCAAAAACGACTTACTGGATTTGGACTCTTTGATGATTCATCGGTCTTGCATTGCACTCTGCGAGATTAGATACAGGACCGTGACTTTGAGTCCTGAACTGTGGTGAGCCCAAATGAACAGAACGGGACTCATCCTCCAGGGACGTTCGGGGACGTCTACACGCTCATAACCCTTGCCAAAAATCCTCTTCGAACTCAAGTCTTGTAAAAGGCAAGAGGAAGGTAAAAGATGACAACACAATTAAATTGTTTGGCAAGACAATTAACAGATAAGAGATTATATGCAAAATTTGAGACATAGAATGAGAGATGATGATGATGGAGAACAGGGGTGATCGCAAATCGAGTTGGATTGAGTGACATCCCATCCGCATCCATTCGAAATTAGGTGGATTGAAAAAAATCAATCCGCATCCATCCATTAGTTTGGCAGATGCAGATTGAACGGGCTGTGCGGATTGGCGGATGGATGCGATTGGTTTGCCGGTTTGAACTTTACAAATTTTGGATATTTTTTCAAATTATAATTTATTACTTTTACAATCTCCAATAATTAATAATTTGAAAAAATATGTTTATTTGTCTATAATAGGCCAGGGCACCATACGTGTATATTTTTAAAGTATTGTTTTTTATTTTTACAAAAATATATATTTTATTATTTCTACTCTATATTGTTACATGTTAGCAATTTCTTTTCATTTTTGTTTTGAGCTTTATCTACGGGCAGATCAAATTCATGCGAGTGCGAGATGGTTTATCCGTTATCTAAACTGTTTTAGCGGATTTTGAAATATTTTATCCGTATATGTCCGCTAAAAGACATGCATCCGCCAAAAATCAATCAAGTTAGATTGGATCGGTCGGATTGAGCGGGCTGGACAGATGCATAATCAGCTCTAATGTAGAAGACAAAACGAGAGAAAGTTAGGATGGTTCTGGATGGTTGAATAAGAACCGTTTGATAAGATTATTCAACAGTTAGAAATGTTCATAGATTTTTTTTTTTTTGTAATTTTATTTTGCAATGTAATTTATGGTGGGGTGAATTATATTTATAGATTTTTTTTTTCAATTTTTTTGATTTATTGTAATTTCTTATATTTGTTTAATTGGGTAAATTGTAAATATTTAATTTTTTTTAAAAAGGTCCTAAAAGAAAAAAAAATAAACAAAAAAATCACTTAAAAATTTATATTCAAATATCACTTACAAAATTAAAGAGAAAGTTAGTTGAGATTTTACCAAATATCTTTTCACCATTGAAATACTACTCATTTCGTTTCAAAATATTAGTTCATTATTCCATTTTTATCATCCCAAAATATTAGTCAATTTTCAATCAAGTTAGATTTTGCCTTTCTTTTAAATTCATTAACAATACAAAAGGTACAATTATCACAATTGATATTTTCTAAAAAATATATTATCAAAAACTAATTTTGAAAATTTAATTTTTTTAAAATATAATAATTATATTATTAAAAAAAATTTCTCAAAAAAAAGAATTATTTTTTTATTTACTTCTCCCAACAGACTCCTTATTCTTTCTCTATTTTATTAACAAACTACCTATTTTTTCTTTATTTTATTAAAATATAATTTTTAATTATAAATTTAAAAAAAAAATCATAAATGTGTATTGCAGTCCCTAAACAAAGCAAAACAAAGAAAAAAAAAACAAAGAAAAAAAAATACAAGGGAGCTATGGTGACTCCCTACAAATAGAGAGTCACTGTAGCAAAAACTAATTTAGAGGAGCTAATGCAAGTGTATAAGGAGCCATTTACCCTTTAAAATAGATAAGGAGGAGGTTTAAGGTTCCGGTGGAGATGTTCTAAGGGGCCAGATTACAACAACTTTTACGGGTTGGGTTGGGTTGAATTGGAGGCCATTCTAAGCCCAACAATAAAGGCCTAATAAGCTTCCTGGACCAAGCAAACAAGATGAAATTAATCAAGACTTTGCCTAGGGGGCAATAATGTCAGTTTGCCAACTCGGTTAGTCCTGAGTCACACAAATTGCACAAAATTTATTTTTTTTCTTGGTACAACAATTTTTTAAAATTGGACTTTATTTATAGTTTTTTAATAAAATTATTAATAATATGAAAAAACAATCTATACCATTATATAAAGTGAATGCTAGATTTGAAATCCAAATCTTTGCTTGTTTGTTAGAATATTATTTTTCGTTTAATTTAAAATCACAAACATCACCTTAGACATTTGACAAAAATATACAGATTTTCCTTAACATTTGGCAAAAAATACAACATCTTTTGACATTTGACTATATCAATCCTTCACATTTGGAAGTGGTATAATTCATTCTTTCAGTGTTAAAATTGTCGTTGAAGTTAGTACTTCTATTAAGGACAAATTATACTAACAGTTTTTACATCTAAAACACTAACCCTCCCGCCCCGCACCCCCCCTCTCTCTCTCTTTGTCTCCCTCCGTAAAATTCTTTCTTCCCTCCCTACACAGATCCATCACACCTTTCGTCGACGTCGACCTCCCGTACGTCATTTCATCAATTTATATCACCACAACCATCGCATTCACTAGATTCACCTCTTTATTCTCTCTCTCTCTCTCTCACATCCTCGATCATCATCCACTGTAATTTGCAGACGAACGCTCTTAAACATACATCTACTCGGTTACTTGTACGTATAAAGCATCAAAATGTAAGCTCTCATTTCTCAATATTGTTATCTCTGTTACGTTCTTCATCCTACATACCTTATATATATATATATACACATACGTGTTGCGTAACAACAGTGTGTTTGATATATAAAAATGCAGAGAGCTGTGAAGAGATTGGAAAGTAGCGGTTGAGATCGTCGGAGCAGAAATGGCGGGCCACGAATCAGGCCCACAGGGGCTGACGAGGCGACCGTCACGCAGCGCTGCGACCACCACTTTCTCCATGGAGGTCTTCGACAACGAGGTCGTTCCCACTTCCCTCAGTTCCATCCGCCCAATCCTCCTCGTCGCCACCGAGATCCAAAACGAGCGCCCTCGCGTCGCCTATCTCTGTAAGCTCCATATCCATCCATGATTCAAAATTCAAACTCATGTCATGTCATGTCATTGATTTTGATACCTAATAATTAAACTCAGATATCTAAATGGCATGCATGCATGCATTTACTGATCGATCGATAATTGTTCTGAGGAATTCGTAATCGTAATCATTGGCGTTCAGTTTTAATCTTTAATTATTTGCTTATTTGTTTGTTATGAATGTTTGATTGTGGTTTTGGAGCGTTTTCTGAAAGTGTTTTTCGATCTTGTTTATTTGTGGACGAGAAGGTCGGTTCTACGCCTTCGAGAAAGCACACAGGTTGGACCCGAGCTCGAGCGGTCGCGGTGTGCGACAGTTCAAAACAGCTCTGCTTCAGCGATTAGAGCGGGTATGCTATTATGCTCTCTCTCTCTCGCTCTCTCTCTCTCTGATTTCATTTCATCCGTACTTTTGCAATTTGTTTGTTTTTAATTCACAGAGGAAGTAGGGTTCGAAATAGTTAGTTATTCAGGTTCCTTTAGACAACCGTCCGACTCTGCGGAGGGAGAGAGGAGAGCGCGCCAAATGGAGTTAGTTATCTGTGTCGTTATAGAGAGAGAAAATCTACAACTGTTGTTGAGGTGTTATCAGATATGGTCGCGCTCATGTTAGGGATATAACGGAAATAATCTGACGTTTCCGCTCGTTTTTAGCTAGTATGCGTTGCCACAATAAATAAATAAATAAATAATAATAATAATAATGAAAATGACAATGAAAATAATGGTAACTTAGGGTAAAACTTGAACGGGTTTGAGCAAATTGAGAGGTTGTTCAAGTTTAGTTTAAGTTGTACTAAGAGTTATAATCATTGGCGTTCAGTTTTAATCTTTAATTATTTGCTTATTTGTTTGTTATGAATGTTTGATTGTGGTTTTGGAGCGTTTTCTGAAAGTGTTTTTCGATCTTGTTTATTTGTGGACGAGAAGGTCGGTTCTACGCCTTCGAGAAAGCACACAGGTTGGACCCGAGCTCGAGCGGTCGCGGTGTGCGACAGTTCAAAACAGCTCTGCTTCAGCGATTAGAGCGGGTATGCTATTATGCTCTCTCTCTCTCGCTCTCTCTCTCTCTGATTTCATTTCATCCGTACTTTTGCAATTTGTTTGTTTTTAATTCACAGAGGAAGTAGGGTTCGAAATAGTTAGTTATTCAGGTTCCTTTAGACAACCGTCCTACTCTGCGGAGGGAGAGAGGAGAGCGCGCCAAATGGAGTTAGTTATCTGTGTCGTTATAGAGAGAGAAAATCTACAACTGTTGTTGACGTGTTATCAGATATGGTCGCGCTCATGTTAGGGATATAACGTAAATAATCTGACGTTTCCGCTCGTTTTTAGCTAGTATGCGTTGCCACAATAAATAAATAAATAAATAAATAATAATAATAATGAAAATGAAAATGAAAATGAAAATAATGGTAACTTAGGGTAGAACTTGAACGGGTTTGAGCAAATTGAGAGGTTGTTCAAGTTTAGTTTAAGTTGTACTAAGAGTTACTTATATCTATTTAAATTCAAATTGTAACGCAAGATTGTTTGTTCAAATCCGATCCAAACTAGGCTCGAATGTTTGACTTACACAAATTGCACATAAATTTAATTTATTTATTTTTTTGTGTGTGTACAACTAAGTTAATTAATTTATTAAAATTGGACTTTATTTATAGTTTTTTAATAAAATTATTAATAATATGAAAAACAAACAATCTATACTATTATATTAAGTGAATGCTAGATTTGATGTCCAAATCTTTGGTTTTTCTTCTTATGCCACGTGCCCTTCATTTTTCTATTTAAACCAAAAAAAAAGTTAGATAGATAGAAAGAATGAGACTTTAACTTGGACTTTAAATTTACTGAATAAGACTCATATGACTTGAGTAATACACAATATATATTAAATATTGTTTAATTTTTATTTATTTGAATTGCACACGTATCTCATGTGCCAATTATTACTAATTTATATAATATGAGTGATAATAATTGAATAACCGATGTGTCGCTATGGTAGTCTTTATAATTTATAAGTGTGAAAAAAATGTAAAGTTTTCTATTGTGTTACTTGTGTATATATATAATATATATTCAACATGATCTAAAGACCTAAATTATGTTAATACCATTCGATCACCAATTATTTATATGTATTTAATATTTTTATACATTTATATTATTTATTTATTTTTTTTTTAATATCAATAAAAGTAAGTTGTTAGATTAGTATCTATTGGAATTAGTCTCCTCATCCTTACAAAGCACTAAGTGCTTGACCTCCCCTGGGACTATGTCCTTAGGAAAGTCACGGTGTCCAACTAGGTTAGACCTAGATGCTTAAGTTGTTTATTGTCTTTGCCCAAACTCAAACTTAATTTGAGCTTAGAATTTTTATCTAAATTCGTACCAAATTCAAAAATATTTTTATAAACCTTAAAAAAGTGTGAGCGGAACTTAATTGCTCAAGTTTTGCCCGCCCAACTTTCACACCTAACTTCAACCAAATCAACTCGTAGATGGCAAACAAGTGTTGTGTTTTCTATAAAAATAAAAATAAAAATTTAAAATGGATTCTTTCATACATTTTGAAACCTAGAGTTATATATTGTAATTCAAGATGTTGTGTCCAGTTCATTTTATTATTGAAAATTTCCCAAAATACAAAAATATATTATTTAAAAATAGAGAAATTATCTATTTTTTAAACAGAAAAAATTTAATTGATAAAAATTATAAAAATGAGAATCGAAAACCACAATCACCACCAACCAGTGCACCTACAACACAAAATTCTAACACAAACAACCAACCAGCATCATTCTAGCACAAACATTCAACCATTACAAAACATATAAAAGTTTTAGGAATTAAATTTTTTGTCTCTAAAAATATAAATTTTGTTACAAAAAAATATTTAGAAACTAATTTCAGTTGTCGCGAGAATAGTTGTTAAAAGGACGTCCCGAAAAGTTTAAAAAAAAAAGCTTTTAAGGATAAAATTTTGAAAATGTTAACAAGAAATATATTTTTAGGGGCAAAATAACTTGGTTTAAAAAAAGTTGATTTTTAAAGAAATTTTTTTTGGTTCTAGAAGGTTAGTAATTTATCACTAAATGTCCAATTTTGTACCTAAAAATAAAATAATAACACTTTTGATAACAAAAATATTTTATTCATAAAAAATAATCAGTGTATTTAGTTTCAGTTTTCTGAAAACTGAATTTTTTGTTTTTTTTATTTTTTTTGTTTTTAGTGAATATCTTTAAGATTTTAAACTTTTTTTTAAGTTTTTTAGATGCACCTTACTTAGATGTATCTAAAAAATAAAATATTTATGAAAAATATTTTAAAAAATAAATAAATACACAAAATATATTAAATTTTTATTTTTTTAAAAAAAATATTTTTGATATTTAGTGAATTTTTGTACTTAACTTTTTTTTGGCAATTTAAAAAATAAAATATTTATGAAAAATATTTTAAAAAATAAATAAATACACAAAAATATATTAAATTTTTATTTTTTTAAAAGAAATATTTTTGAAGTCAGTACATGTGAACTCATTCAAAAAAAAATTAATTATTTGGTTGAAGTCAGCACTATGCAAATTGATGGCATTTTAAATTTTCAATCATCCAATATTCAAATGGAATATGAAAAATTTTATGAAAATTTTTCACTTTTTAATTATACATACAATAAAATACTACACACTAATTAATGATAGAAAATTTTCATGAAGTATTTCATGATATTTCTTTCATGATGACTAATTTATTCAAATGATTATGACATTTAGTCAAAAAACAAAAAAAAAGTGAGAAAAACAAAGTTAACCTTTTTAATTTTAGGGTAAAAATCACAGAAACTATTGCTAGTTGATAAAATTATAGTCACTTCTTTACTTCCAACATATCACGAAAATTCTTTAACATTTAGAAATTATATCAACCACACCCCTTTTACAAATTACCATTAATTTTTTTAATTAGAATATTATTTTTCCTTTAATTTGAAATTACAAACATCACCTTAGACATTTGACAAAAATATACAGATTTTCCTTAACATTTGGAAAAAAATACAAGAACATCTTTTGACATTTCATTATATCAATCCTTCACATTTGGAAGTGGTATAATTCACCCTCTTAGTGTTAAAATTGTCGTTGAAGTTAGTACTTCTATCAAAGTTACTCTTTTATCCATTAATTATTATCTTTTTGTATGAAAAAAAGGTCCAAAGAAAAACTAAATAAAAGATGGGAAATAATTTTTTTTGCACACTCAAAATGTAATATGACAAATGTAAGAAAGATATTCTCCATACTATTGTTGTTATCGTTTATTATAATTTTTTTTCAAAACATTTAATAAGTAAATAGGATATCAATATATTTTTATCAAATGTAAATGGTTATCTGTTTATTTTTATCAAATGTTCAGGGATACCTATAATTTATAAATTTTAGAAGACCAATATGAGAATACCAAACACTGTTTTGGATGACAAGAACAAAAATTGTTATTGTTACTAATGTGTTTGAAAGTTTAAGGTCTTGTTGATATAAATTTTTAAGTATAAGAGTGTTTGAGAATTAAATGTGAGAATGTAATAGTGTATTTTACCCTTAACTTTAGGGTCGACTTTCTCTTGCCTTCACATCTTAATCTGAGAGAACATGAGGGGCCATGAGGCTTATCACGAGTCTTATTTTGATGATCTAAACTGTTATTTTATAGGGTTTTCAATATATATCATCTATGAAAAAAAATTATATTGATCCAATAATAATAATATTTTTATTTTATTGCGTTTATTCTAAAAAAATAAGTGGTCTATTTTTAAAAATATATGTTTTGTTTATTTATTTATTTATTTTTTTTGAAAAAAATGCGATAAAATGAAAATATTACAATTATCGGATCAAAATTATTTTTTTTTCCATGAATGATATACATTAAGAGCCCTACCAAATGAACAATTCGAATCATCCAAAGGGACCTGTAGTGGGCTCCACGGGATCTCAAGTTCTCTCATATTTAGATATGAATATAAGAAAAACCTAACTCATTTAATTTTAGAAAAATGATGTACAAAGCCCACTTTCTAAACTCATTTTCTAAGTCTAATGATGCGTTAGTGATATGATTAGTTGATAATTAGAAAATATATGAAAAAGAGTGTCACCTTAAATATGTTAATTTTTTTTTTAGATCGGCTTTAAATATCCTAGTTTATTACCACATTAATAAACTTAAAAAGTGAGTTTGATTTTTAAATTTGAGTAACAATAGCTTGCTTGTTTTTTGTTTTCAAAAAACACTTTTCAGAAAATTCTATTTTCTTGTTTTTCATGTTTTCTTTTGTTTTTACTAATTTTTTTTTAATTTCTAGACACACCTAACATAAATATACATAAAAGTATAATTTTTGTGAAAAAAATCTTTTAAAAATTCACTAAATACTTAGAATACAAATAAAAAAGAAGCAATAATTCAATATATTTTTTTAATTTTTATGTATTTATTAATTTTTTAAAATATTTTTTCACAATTTTTTTATTTTTTAGATACATCTAAGTAAGGTGCATATAAAAAAGTAAAAAAAAAAAAATGGTTAGAATTTTAAAAATATTCACTAAAAACAAAAAAATAAAAAACTCAATTTTTAAAAAATTTAATTCAAAAAATTCAAACCAAACACACACAATGATTTTAATTTTAATTAGTTAAGAACTTCAACTTTAAGGACTCTTCCTTACACATGCAATTAATATGAATGCACTTATTTTAAGGTGGATATATTTCATAGTTTTAATGATTATTGGTCTCTTAGAGCATCTCCAATGCACTAGGCATACAATACTTGTTAGTTAAAATGCCTAGTGTGATTCACTTTTTTTAATTCCAATGCACTAGGCATATGATTAGGCATTTTGGCTCAATTCATATTTACTAGCTACATGTAGCTAGCCTTCAACGCTAGGCAAAATGTATTCAATCATTAGGATCATTTCCCTCCATCTTTGTTGTTGACGTGTCATTCTATAAAATTAGTAGTATTTGGATAAATAGCTAAAATAAAGAGCATGGTTGGAGTAAAAACATAAAACAGTTGATAGGCAAAATAAAATATGTACTTTATAGGAATATTTAGATAGGTAAAATGCCTACTACCGTTGGAGATGCTCTTAGCTTCATTTTTTTGTGTATAAATAAATCGTTGGGTTGGATTAAGTCTTCTCCCCTTCCGGACCAAGTTAAGTGCATACATACAGACAGTATTTTTGTTTCACGCATCCATTCAATTTTTCTTTGTTTTACACATGCATACATTATCGATGAAGTTGTCTGAAATGGCATTCTCAATATTGGGTTACACGCGTTTTTCGAAAATCAATTTTCTTCTTCTGTTTTTTGATTTTGAAAATCAATTTTCATATTCTGTTTGGAAACTGAAAGAGGGTTTAGGCGATTTGGTACATTTACTTGGTTTGGTTTAATAATGTTACTGATAAGGCTATTTAAAGCTAAAGGTATAAATAAACAAATAATCACATCACAGGCACGAATTGAATTCCCACGACTTTGTGATTATTTGACACGAACCTAAAAAAATATATTTATTGTCTTTCTATTCCATTCAACATCTATATTACATCACTTTTTTATCACTTTACATTTCTTTAAAAAGAAAAGACAAGAAAAAGAAAGTAAAGTAAAATATTCTATTCCTAAACAAAGCGGAAGGAATAACCCAGTATTGTAAATATACATCAGTACATACATGCATAGTAGTAGTTTGTTTCTTGGGGTCATGGCCAATTTGAATAGTTAAGGAGTGGATTAACTAACGAGGAAACTCTTCTGTCTCTCTCTGATACTCTCTTTGACATATGCTACTTTGATTCAGGACAATGCGTCGAGTCTGGCCTCTCGGGTTAAGAAAACTGATGCAAGGGAAATCGAGAGCTTCTACCAACAATACTATGAACACTACGTCAGAGCACTGGACAAGGGGGAACAAGCAGATAGGTACTGTATCTATCTATAACAAAACCTCAATCAATTTTTATTTATTTTTTTTGGATTGATTCATTGATTTTCCTTGTAATTTTGGTTCAACTACTTACTGGTTTTCAATGGAGAGCAATTGATATGCACTGCTTGCTGCCAATATTTAAATTTTTTGACAGAGCGCAACTCGGCAAAGCTTACCAGACAGCCGGAGTTCTTTTTGAAGTCCTCTGTGCCGTTAACAAAACTGAAAAAGTGGAAGAAGTTGCTCCCGAGGTATGCTCACTCCAGCCGGCTGTTGCTAATTTATAGTACATGTTTTTATCAATTTTAAAATTAAAATGGCTTTCCTGTTGTGCTTCTTTTTGTATATTTTGACAGAAAATTTGGTGGCATAATGACATTATCAATTGTATTTATTTATTTATTTTTGTGGGGGCAGATTATTGCTGCAGCAAAAGATGTCCAGGCAAAGAAGGAAATCTACGCTCCTTATAACATTCTTCCTCTGGATTCTGCTGGGGCATCACAGGCCATCATGCAGCTTGAAGAGGTATAAAGAAATAAATAACTTAACCCTAATGGAGAGAAATAATCAATCTTTGCTGTTTGGCAAGGATTGACATCTTGACCAACTAAGGTTGACCCCTAAGAAGCACGGATGGTTCTAAAAAAGTAACGTATCCGTGCCATGCCATGTCGTGTCCGTGTTAGTGTCAGACATTGATACTCTATGGACACTTCCCGACACGTGTCCGACACTAGTCAAAACGTGTTCTTTTTTTTGTTTTTTTAAACACTCGGACACTTGGGGTGTCTATCTCTTAAACACATATGTCTATCGATTAGACATGGGTAAAACTAATTATAAGCTTGAACAATATAATAATAAAAGAAAAACTACATAAATTTATAAGAATTATTGTCATACTGTTTTTATTATCCTTGAATGACATATTCATATAGATATGACTTATAATAAATGTATAAAATTATATATTTCATGCATGTCCCCCACGTATCATGTTCCACATTTTTTGAAAATTGGCATGTTGGTGTGTCCTTGTTGTATCCGTGTCATCGCGTGTCTATGTCCGTGTCCATCCTTCTTAGGTTGTCCCAGTTGGTTGAGGGAGATATACTTGCATAGGCAAATGTCTAAAATATGAGGTAGGAATACTTGCATGCTACTGTAGTCAGTTTATAAGCATGCACAATTTTGTTTGATATATTAGTTTGCTTGCTCTGTGCTTATACCAGGTTAAGGCTGCTGTGGCTGCACTATGGAACACGCGTAGCTTGAACTGGCCAACTTCATTTGAGCAGCAGAGGCAGAAAGCAGGGGAATTGGACCTTCTTGATTGGCTTAGAGCCATGTTTGGGTTTCAGGCATGCGTTATTAATATAGACATATTAATGTAGACATTTAGATGTGAATTCCTTACTCAATGTATGACTTTTAGAAGTGATAAACACCTTTGGTTAATTTTCGTGTCTACAGAGAGACAATGTCAGGAACCAGAGGGAGCATTTGATTCTGCTTCTTGCCAATGTTCATATAAGGCTTAACCCGAAGCCTGAGCCTCTAAGCAAGGTATGCACCAATCTCTCAAATCAAATTATTTTGTAATTTGCCCAATTCATAATTTCTTGTGTATCCATATATATATTTTTATCAATATAGGACACCATGACATGAGTGTCCTGTATTTTGCCGCATTTTAGATTTTCACTGTGTGGCACTTGTAAGTTCAGAGCTAGTCTAGAATGTTCCATTAAATTAAATGCATGTGTTTCTTTTTTTTTCTATAATTACTTTCTGGACTGTATGAATCTCTTCTTTTATTTTTCTTCTTCTTGTTTTTTTGTTTTTTGGTGTGTGTATGTACGTCTGTGGAATTTTCTGGTAGTTTTTTCCGTGTCAGAATGCTATTCTACTAGTTTGTACTGAACATAATGACTTGGAGTTAATGTCTTTCTCCATAATTGGCCACTGATTAAGCTTAAACACATTTATCTTGTCCAGCTTGATGATAGAGCTGTTGATGCAGTTATGAACAAGGTCTTTAAGAACTACAAAACATGGTGCAAGTTCTTGGGGAGAAAACACAGTTTACGGTGAGACATGATTGTATCTGGATCTACTTTTCTTAGTGGAGTTTTTCTATGTTCTTATGCTTTCATAGTTTGAATTTGAGCTTCTTATGCATTTTATTGAGCTTGTTACCCTACAATATAAAATTTTCATTTCTTGTAGGCTCCCACAAGGGCAACAAGAAGTACAACAGAGAAAGATACTTTATATGGGCCTCTATCTTCTTGTCTGGGGTGAGGCAGCTAATGTACGGTTTATGCCAGAATGCCTATGTTACATCTTTCATAATGTGAGTATTGCATTCATCTGTCTAGATTCCTTCTTAGTTTCTGTTCTGCAATTATTTTTTTATGTGAGTTGCATTTGTTTTAACATGTTTCAAATCATTTTCTTGACATATGTTCAGATGGCATACGAGCTTCATGGTTTGTTGGCTGGAAATGTTAGCATTGTCACCGGAGAAAACATTAAGCCTTCTTATGGAGGAGATGATGAGTCTTTCCTGCGGAAGGTTATAACACCCATTTACCGAGTTATTGATAGGGTACTTTCTCTGCAAACATGCACACTGTTGTCAGAGTTTTGGTCTCTTTTTTTATTTTTTATTCGAACTATAATGGTGTTTATGACATTCCAGGAAGCCAAGAAGGGTAAAAATGGAAAAGCCCCTCACACAGCTTGGTGCAATTATGATGATCTGAATGAGTATTTCTGGTATGTTAGTTAAAATCAAAATTTTAAGCTCATTAGTTAAAGATCCTAGGTGCTTAGGTTTCTTTATTTGCTCTGAAATATGATTCTACTTCATATTCTTCAGGTCCACTGATTGCTTCTCTTTGGGTTGGCCCATGCGTGATGATGGTGATTTTTTCAAATCAACACGTGACATAACACAGGTACCTTAAATATTTTAAGCAGATGCTGTCTCTTTATATTGCTCAGTGTGTTCATTTTGTGCTTAAGATAGCTGCAATGCCAGGGACGACAAGCGGCTAGTGTAAAGTCTGGAAGCACAGGCAAATCATATTTTTCTGAGACACGTTCATTCTGGCATATCTTCCGAAGTTTTGATCGTTTGTGGACATTTTATATGCTAGCTTTACAGGTACTTAATTGCAACAGGATAGTCATTGAGTGGACATTATCTCTACTCCTGACTTCAGGTTCTTGTGTCAGTAATTAATTGTTCAAACTGTTTTATTGCAGGCTATGGCTGTCATTGCATGGAAAAATATTTCTCCATTGGATATTTTTCGGAAAGATGTCTTATATAGCCTTTCCAGTATTTTCATTACGGCAGCCTTTCTTCGGTTCCTTCAAAGTATGGGATTCTTACCTCATAGCTGCAGTGGTCTTATTAAAGCCTAATCATTGGAATATTGTTTGAAGTTTTATAGCTGCCTGTGCCTTAAAAAAAATGTTGAGATTAGAGAGAAGCCATTAGCTCTAGAGGCATGTTTCTTTCCTTTCTAATTTGAAGTACCGAATGAAGGAACTTATGAGCAAGAAATTTTTTGCAGGGAAAATTTTCTTAGAAACTTTCATTGGTTTCTTGAATGAGTAATGCTATACTGCATGCTAGCACTAATATTACCTTAAATGGTTCTATAGCTTCGACTAGTTTTCCTCTTTGGGTTCTAAAGTGATGATAGTATTAAGTCTATAAAATGGATGATATTATAAAATCATTTTGGAAGCCCTATACAACTAAAATTTGAAATGATTAGGTCATGGAATCTCTTTAAGAAGTATTAGCAATTAAAGAATTTGAATAAACAATAAGTAAAATTTTTGAGATAGATACTTCAGTTTTAAGGAGGCTTTTTCCAAGTGTTATTTGTGCATTGCGTAAGAAAATCATGGTTTAGTTGAAACAAGTATCTTTCCTGGATATTTACCTGTTATGATTTGTTTTCTCATATTTACATTTATTTGGGTATTGAATTATTACAGAACTTCTTTTTGGCTTGGCTCATATTGTATGACCTATGTTACTTGGACTCTTCTCAATGTGTAGAGTTCCCATGTAAAACCCTCAACACTAGTGTAAGAGTAAGGGGTATGTGTCCAACAATGTAGGATGAGTGCAAGGATTGCTCTCCACGTAGTAGTGAGCCCAAAATATATATAGTAGCGGAAAACCAAGGTTTTTAAGGATAGTTTTAATTGAATTTTGTGGCTGGAAATGTGGTAAACATATAGAGGTTTTAAGAGTTTATATGGGGTAACAAACGGTACAGGTTTAAGCATGAAAAGTAGGATTTTTTGGCACTGTTTGGAGGCTGTTTTTGGGTGTTGTAAACAGCACCCGAGAGCAGTAACTTTGTAGAATTTGGGTTCTTGATGTGCTATTGTTGTATAATTCAAGAAGGGATAGTTTAGGCTTGCCTAATGGAAGTTTAAGGCTTAAGGTTTGAAAGGCTTTAAATCACATGAATTTGTAGAAAAGAAGAAGAAAGAAGAAGAAAAGTCTAGGCATCACACTTAGAATCTCAATTGCATCACACCCAGGCTTCACACAATTTGGAAGGAAGTAGCTCAGAAAATTCTCTAAAACACTATTACTCTTAAATTAGAAGTATCACATAGATAATGGAGACATGCTTCACCAACTAGGACTAGGATTTCTTAAAAGGAAACTAGTCTTTTGACTTCAAGATCAAATGAGATTGATACATAAAATTAAAATCCAATTATATTACTTAACGCACAAGATGACCCATGGGCAATCCATATAACCTCATGTCTAGAAAATTTTGAAATTACCAAAATATTCCCAACTCTTGAAACTTAATAAAACATAACTAAAACTCTTTGCAGTATAGTAAACTTAAAACTAGAGAAAATAGGACTCTTGTTGATACTAAAAGTGTACAATGTGAGTCCCAAGTGAGCCCCAACTTGAAACTAATGATCTTCCAAATTTTGCCAACTCATTATCTTTACTTGTTCTTGAGTTCTTTATAGTATGTATCATTCTCTCTGGTTGGAGAAAACTCAACTTCGTGTTATAAAATATTGAAGTATAATCAAGAAGCTTCAGACTTGAACCCTTGGTTGCTGAAGAAAATTTGGGGATGACATTGGACTTTCCTCTTTGTCTGAAACATTGATGATTGTAAAATGTGATAAATCCTTTTAATTGGGTAGCCAAACTTGTTGGGAATTACCAAATCAATATTTGAAGTAAACAGCGTAGGAGATATGGGGCCTGCTGGGTGCAACTTTTCTTAAGTTGAAAGCTGATAATCAGAAATTCATAAGTTAAAAGTGCCCCTCCCGTTGCTTCCAGATAATAATTTTTTTTTTCTTGCTTATTTAAGCTTTTTTTGCTTCTCAATCTATAACCAGAAGCTGCACCAAACACACTGGCACAGATTCCCAAAATAAAAAAGTTGTCTTATTCTTTTGTAGACAAGAAAATTCTGTTGGACCTCATTTTATACTCCCATAACTTTCTTTGTACCTTATAATGTACCTGAATTTAAAGCTTACTGTACAGATCATGATCCATTTAGTTAAGCAAAGATGTCTTATTTCTTTTGCAAACATCAAAATTCTGCATGCTTTGCTGTTCTTCATTTTAATTTGTACATAGTATTGGGGTATTCAGATATGATTCTTACAAAAGTCTTATTCTTCTTCTTCCTTTTTTTTTTTTTTTTTCTTTCTCAATATGGATATTAGGTATGTTGGACCTTATTTTGAACTTCCCTGGCTATCATAGATGGAAATTCACTGATGTTGCAAGAAACATTTTGAAGATAGTTGTTAGTCTCGCATGGAGCGTCATTCTTCCACTGTGTTATGTGCAATCATTCCAAGTGGTCCCCGAAAAAATAAAAAATATGCTTCCATTCCTTAATAAACTGAGAGGCATTCCATCTCTGTACATCATTGCTGTTGCAATGTATTTGCTTCCGAATTTACTGGCAGCAGCATTATTTATTTTTCCTATGCTCCGACGTTGGATTGAGAACTCAGACTGGCACATAATAAGGTTTCTTCTGTGGTGGTCACAGGTATCCTTGTTGTCTCCTCATATTCTTATGCATGCACTGGCTCATGTACAAATGTATGCACAGATATTACAGGGTGATGAACTTAGATTTCTGTTTCAGGAAACGGAAGTGATTTGACTTGTTCTTATGTCTTAGTTGTGCACTCTGTTCTTTCTTCTCCATTAAACCCATTTATCTAAACATAAGATATCATGTATTAAAATTTGGTTGTTCTTAAGAAATTTGAATTTTCTGGAGAGATTGTTAGAATGTTAATCTACAAGACAAACCAAATTAAACTAAACTAAGCATTGTATCCAAATCAAGTGGGGTTGGCTATATGAATAATTTTTTGTCATTTTGTTGTCAAAGTCTATGCTCAGTTAAACTAAATAAATTCATATCCTTTTTTCCTACCAAAGTCAAAATCAAGTGGGGTTGGCTACATGAATCATTTTTTGTCATTCTATTGTCAAAGTCTATATGCTTAGTTAAATTAAACAAATTCATATTCTTTTTTCCTACCAAATCCCATGTCAGTTTAGGTCTTCTCCTCTCCTTGCCATTGCATCTATACGTCTTCGTTGTAGACGCAATTGACAAATCACTGCATAATGATCCTTGATTATGTCCAAAATTACAAGCAATCAATGTGTTCGTGATTCAAGTTTTGTGCACTCCTTATTCTATGGTAATAACTGTTTTTACAACAATCGAGCCTTTTATGTACTCCCCCCTTTGTGTATTCTAACATATCTCAAAACAAGAACCAAACCAAACCAAACCAAGCCTTGAGTCCTATCAAATGAGGTCGGCTATATCTTAACTGTTTTGAGATATAACAACTAATCATTAATTAATACTTTCTGATTCTGCTTTGCTGTTGCAGAATATCTAAAATTAGAAACGCTGTATGGAGATCTGAACTTTCTTTAGTTAAATTTTCTTATCATCAAGCTATAAATAAAAGTTTCATCTCTTGAATGACTTTGTTCATTTTTTTTTGCAGCCCAGAATTTATGTTGGGCGGGGAATGCATGAAAGTCAATTTGCACTTATAAAGTGAGTTTGGCAAGGACTCGTATCTTATTCTGATTGTCTACTGTTGTAAATGTTCTTTGTTTAGTTGCTTGAAATAGGCTTCATTGTTTAAATAAATTTGTTCACCAATTTCAGGTATACTCTTTTCTGGGTGTTACTTCTCTGTTCCAAATTCACATTTAGTTTTTTCATCCAGGTATTGACATTAACCTTTTTAATATATTGGATATGACGAATACATGGGTTCTATTTTAAAATTTTGGTTATAAATTCCCCAGATAAAACCTCTGGTGAAGCCAACAAAAGATATAATGAGTATTCGTCGTGTTCAGTATACTTGGCATGAGTTTTTCCCAGAAGGTATTCATCTGCTCTTAGTGCTTGCTTTTTGTGCTTTTTCTTCTCAAATTATTCTTTAATGCTGAAAGACTTGAGTCAATGCAGCTCAAAACAACTATGCAGCAGTTCTCTCACTCTGGGCACCTGTAATCTTGGTGTGTCTTACTGTTTGATCTTCTTGTTCAGTTAAAATATTTATAAGTTATTTCATCTCTTGTTTATTTATTTATTTTGTGTGTGTGTGTGTATGGTGTTTGTGTGGACAGCAGTTTATATATATTGTTTATGAAAAGTTTCTCATATATTAGTACAAGTCTCGTGCAGGTTTATTTTATGGATACTCAAATTTGGTATGCTATTTTCTCAACTCTGTGTGGTGGTGTTATTGGGGCCTTTGATCGTTTAGGAGAGGTGATTCCTTTGAACACAATGGTTTCATGATTTCTATTTATCTTTCATTAATTGCTCATTGAGTACGGTACTTCATTTATAGCATTCTTTCTAGTTGCTTTTTTTTCTTTGTAATTTCTCATTTTAAATGGCCATGCACTGCCATACAATTTTCTGCATACTTTAATGTTCTTGCAACTGTGCTTGGGCCGAGAACTCCAACTAAGGGGCTCTTTTCAGAAATGTAAGCCTTTGCTAAACCTGGGGTCTCGTTATTTGGATTATAGAATGTTGCAATTTTCATTTATATCCAACACATCATTTCTGTTCATGCTTTAGGCTTGTAAGAGAATTATTATATAATAATTTTAGTATTTTTGTATCTTGAGTGCAGAATGATTTTCAAAGGCTATTTTGTTTTTCAAAAAATATTTTTCCGTAGAAGTCAAGACCAGCTAGTTTTGGTAGGCTAATTCATCGATGTTAATTTCCTTACTGTCTATTTTTGTCTTGTTGGCTATTTTTCCATTGCTTTTACTCATTTTGAATGACTAACCCTGCACTTTATTCAATTTCATCACTTCATACAACTTGAGATTGATTCAAGTTATTTTTTGGTACTATCAACATTAAATAACTAGAGGCATGACGTCCAAACTATCAGTAGTTAATGTTCATCTTGCTGATTAACAGTCATGTTGACTTCTCTTACAGATACGAACACTAGGCATGCTCAGGTCACGGTTCCAGTCTTTACCTGGTGCATTCAATACATATTTGGTTCCTTCTGATAAGACTAAGAAAATGGGATTTTCTCTCGCAAAACGTTTTTCTGAGGTTTCGTCTTGTGTTACCACACTTACTGTACAAAAATAAATATCCAGATCTAATGATTTTATGTTTTTACGAACTTCTTTTTTTTTTTGATGAATGTCTAGGTTACAGCAAGCAAAAGAAGTGAAGCTGCAAAATTTGCTCAGTTATGGAATGAAATAATAGTAAGTTTCCGTGAAGAAGATCTCATAAATGACAGGAAAGGCCCCTTAACTGATTTCTTGTTTTCACCAGGCTATCTATTAATTCCTCGTGCAATTGTACTGAAAGTTTTCATTTATTCCAGGGAGATGGATCTGTTACTAGTTCCTTATTCATCAGATCCTAGCCTGAAACTAATTCAGTGGCCACCTTTTCTGCTTGCGAGCAAGGTCAGTGCGGTGTCCCAAAATTCTTGTGTCTGTTGCTTGTTTTTGTTGTTGACTGTGTACACTTGCAGATTCCGGTCGCATTGGATATGGCGGTCCAATTTCGATCTAAAGATTCTGACCTCTGGAGGCGTATATGTGCGGATGAATATATGAAAAGTGCTGTTATTGAATGCTATGAGTCTTTCAAACTTGTGCTGAATGCTTTGGTTGTTGGAGAAACTGAGAAAAGGTTGCTTTTTGGTACTTCGTTCATCAAGGAATTTAGTGGCCTGAACTAGTCATCCATTGTGATTTGATCATGTACCATATACGTCTTCCAGTAATTTTAGTTGTCTATGTATATATCTGCCTGAAGTTTAGGATTTTATTCTATTGATATTATTCTTTATTTTATTTTATTCAATTTCATTATTTTTCTTTTTATTTTTTAATCAGATATGTATCAGACTGAAACTTAAGTTAGTACAAGGAACTAATCAGATGTGACTAAGCCTCCAATTTTAGACTCTTTCTCCATTTTACCACCTTTGTCTCTGTCAAACACCATGTTTGTGTACCTTTGGCACTGAAATCTCTCTCTCTTTCTCTCATCAACTTGCCCATTACAAAGTTTTATTTCCGTCCTTGATCACATTACACTGAAGATTCACGTTCTCCATTCACAATTTGAACTTAAAGAAGACCTGGTAGTACTCATTTGGGGAACTTCCAGGGTTTTGTTCTTTTACTTCTATATAATTCACATTACTTTTATTTGTGCAATCATTTTAGCTCATTAGAGAAGCACAATAATTATGATGAAACTTGAAAGTGATTTCTTTGAGTCGTGCTTTGTTGTTATTATTTACTATAATTCTAATTCTAATTTATATGAAACAGGATAATTGGCATCATTATTAAAGAAGTCGAAAATAACATCGGAAAGAATACATTTCTCGCAAATTTTAGAATGGGTTCTTTACCTACTCTTTGCAAAAAGTTTGTGGAACTTGTGGAAATTTTGGTGAGTGTTTTAGAAAGAAGTCATATCTGCAGTACAGTTTATTGGACAGATTCTTCTCCATTTCATGTATTAGAAATTTACACTTCTTACATGTTACAGAAAGATGCTGATCCATCAAAGCGGGATATTGTGGTGTTGTTGCTGCAAGACATGTTAGAAGTAGTTACCCGTGACATGATGGTTACCGAGATTCGGTTGGTGAATTGTGTCTCATTCTTAAAGTAGCTCATATTCTTTTGGTGGAAAAAGAAAAGATAGCCTAATAGGGTACTCCTTATATTTGCCACAATAGCCATGTAATGATTTGTTTTCTCTATATTAAATATTTCAGTGAAGTGGTGGAACTTGGTCATAGTAGCAAGGATTCTGGAAGGCAACTTTTTGCTAATACCGATGCAAAACCTGCTATTGTGTTCCCTCCTGCTGTTACAGCACAGTGGGAAGAACAGGTACATACTAGTATAATCAATATTTAAATGCACAAAGACACAAATTCTAAAACCTTAGTTTTCTGTAACAAATAATAAATTGTTCTGCTTGCCATTGTTGTAGATAAGACGCCTCTATATGCTCTTGACAGTAAAAGAATCCGCCATTGATGTGCCCATAAACCTTGAAGCACGCCGAAGGATAGCATTCTTTACAAATTCTTTGTTCATGGATATGCCACGTGCTCCCCGAGTTCGCAAAATGCTGTCATTCAGGTACAGGGCCAGCTTATTAGCTAAGTCATTGAAGCAAGGGCTTTAGGCCCCATTTTGTGAATAAGGCCCCCAAATTTAAACAAACTACAACTATATACATACATTTCTGAGAAGGTTTATTTTGAAAAAGGCTTCCACACAAATTAAAACATAATAATAAATAGACTTCCACCCTCCACCCATGAACATAATACATATATACATATTAGAAAAAATGGTCTCTATCAGTGTGTTATATATTTGTAAAAAGCATCCACTTTATTTTTTCAGAAGATCCACATATGTTAATTTAAGAAAACCTACTTTGCAAAAGGCCTCCATCGATTTAGAATAGGTTCTACAAGTTTGGTCTTCAATTTTCACTCTTTTTCCCTCCCTCCTTAGCATGGGCCGCACTTTTAATTTATAAATTCTATTTATTAGATAGCTTACAGTTTTCTTTTCTTTTCATTTCATAGACCTCATAAAGTCTTTAAATACCTCCCCAAATTTTTTGAAGAGAAAATAAATTATAATATAAAACTAATATGATTTTAATAAAAAAAACCTCCAATCGAGATTTTGCCTTAGGCCTTGCGGAGGGTTGGGCTGGCTCTGTTCAGGTATTGCTCATATATATTGATTGCATGAAATCAGTAGTTAAATATGTCATGTTTTGCCCATGGACATGCTTTGTGCTCACTAAAGCAACCTGAGTTCAATCATTTGACTTGCCATGCAGTATGAAGTTTAGAATGTTTTGAAATTTGTAGCGCAATGTTTAAATGAGCTACCAAGGAAAAGATCCACACACAGTCAAGAATTGTGGATGCTCATAAAATTAATTACTCAATTTACATGTCAGGTTCTTTGGTACACTTTTTTGTGTATGTGTGAATCTGTTGTCATCCTTCAACCATCACATAATCATAGTTATTCCTTGGCATTGGCAGTGTCATGACTCCGTACTATAGTGAGGAAACTGTCTATTCTAAAAGTGACCTCGAGTTGGAGAATGAAGATGGTGTATCAATCATATTCTACCTGCAAAAAATCTTCCCAGGTTTCAAACTATAAACATCCATTGCAACACTTGTATTTGCATAGCATTATCGCTTCATGTGGTTTCTATACGATATATATTTTTTGAGTTGGAAATCATAATGTGACTTCTTTTAGATGAATGGAATAACTTCTTGGAGCGAATTAATTGTAAAAATGAAAGTGAGGCCTGGGAAAATGAAGAGAATGTGTTGCAGTTGCGCCATTGGGTTTCCTTAAGAGGACAGACTCTATGCAGAACAGGTACCTTAAGAACTATTTTCTCTATCAAATTCCTTTATATTTTTCTCTGGTTTCAATCGATATTGGTGCTGCAGTCAGAGGAATGATGTATTACCGAAGGGCTTTGAAGCTTCAGGCTTTTCTTGACATGGCTTCTGAAAAAGGTAAGAGTTGTATACCTTTTGGAGTACACATTATCAATGTTTTTCAACATTTAATCTGCATGAGAATGATTTTCATTCTCCTACACCTTAATCCTCGAAAATGCTTTCACCTGGATTAATTGACAGAAGAAATGAGTTCCAAAAAGAAATATGAATTATCACAATTTGTTTTTAACTACCAAATTTAGTTAAGGAGATGCATAAATCAAGTTCTTGGCTTCCCATCAAATTGACAATGCTGTAAGTGAGAGACTTGTGCCCTGCGTACGACCTTTTTAGTTGAAACGACATGCCAATGAAAGCCCATTTAAATTCAATATGACATAATGAAATACAGGATCTTATTAATAAAAACTGGGAAATTCGGTGACTCTTTATATGTAAACTGAGCAGATATACTTGAAGGTTACAAAGTTGTCACAGTTCCATCGGAGGAAGATAAGAAGAGTCAAAGATCCTTATATGCTCAATTAGAGGCTGTAGCAGACATGAAATTCACTTATGTTGCTACCTGTCAGAATTATGGAAATCAGAAGCGGAATGGAGATCGTCGTGCAACGGATATTTTGAATTTGATGGTTAAGTATGTCATCCATTCAATACAGTGAAAATAATTTTGCATATTGATTCTTCTGAATTTATGTTGATGAACAAATATTTTGAATTTAATGGTTAAGTATGTTATCCATTCAACACAGTGAAGTTCTGTATATTGATTCTTCTGAATTCATGTTTGATGGGTTCATTTTATCTGAGAATCTGATTCCTGATGCTTCCTCTTCAGCAACCCATCTCTCCGTGTTGCATATATTGATGAAGTTGAAGAGAGGGAAGGTGGAAAGGTACAGAAGGTATACTATTCTGTGTTGGTCAAAGCTCTTGATAATCTTGATCAGGTAATCATCCTTTTTTAACCATGTTGATCAGAATAATCATGTTGATTTATTTTACCTCAAACCCTGGTTTCTTTCTTGTTTTCTCCCTGAAGGAAATCTTCCGTATAAAGTTGCCGGGTTCAGCAAAGGTAGGAGAAGGAAAGCCTGAAAATCAGAACCATGCTATTGTTTTTACTCGAGGGGAAGCACTTCAGACCATTGACATGAACCAGGTCTGTAGAAGTTTGAATGATGACAGTAGACTAGGATTTCTTGTGTCAATTATCATTATCACTGTCCCAATTTTGATGTAGGACAATTATTTGGAAGAGGCTTTCAAAATGCGTAACCTACTGGAAGAGTTTAACGAGGATCACGGGGTACGTCCACCTACAATTCTAGGTGTTCGTGAGCATATCTTCACTGGAAGGTTGGGTAGTCATTACATTTTTTGGGATCTGAATTGATCTGTGACAATTGGATTTTAATTTATCTAATATGGCGTTAGATTTGTGCTGCAGTGTTTCTTCTTTGGCTTGGTTTATGTCAAATCAAGAAACGAGCTTTGTCACCTTAGGTCAAAGAGTTCTTGCAAGGCCTTTGAAGTATGTTTTCTCTGTTTTCATTCTTTAGTCAGTAATTATTTTAAAGAATTCTATATATTTATTTTGAATGAGAGGACATAATTTTATGTTACCAACAAGGCAACAACTAATAGTTGATGTAAGACAATATAACAAATGAACGATGATTCACTTGATACCTGGTGGCCGGTTTATAGACTCATGCCAGATTTTGTAAACCTGTCCTACTCTTTGAAGAACGGGCTTGCCAATGAGTCATTTGGGCCATGAACCTGCTGCTGAAGTTGATCTTTTCCAGAAATGACCGAATCTCGACTTCACCCTGGTCTTGAGTTTCCATTGATTTTGAAGCCTCTTAATTTTGTATGCATGTGTGTGTTGTTTGTCCGATTGTGTCCACAATTTTTTCTTTTCTTGCCACACTAAAATTTGGTACATTGGTTCCTATACTCTGTAATTAGTTTCATTGGAATGCATACCTTCTTTTTTGTATCATTTCTGATGATAATCATTCAAGATTGCTATGGTTGCACGTTCTAACATGAAATTCATTTTCCTTGAAAATTGGTTGGATTTAGGGTTCGGTTCCACTATGGGCATCCAGATGTGTTCGACAGAATTTTCCACATTACTCGTGGTGGAATCAGCAAAGCCTCTCAGGGCATCAATCTAAGCGAGGATATTTTTGCGGGTACTTTTTGAATCTTCTACCTCTGTGTATATGCTAAATTTTGTTTTTCTCTTGATATATATGCATATATTTTTCCTATATAGGTTTCAATTCAACACTGAGACGTGGAAATATCACGCACCATGAGTATATCCAAGTAGGAAAGGGAAGAGATGTTGGCCTCAACCAAATTTCTCTTTTTGAAGCGAAAGTGGCCTGTGGTAATGGGGAGCAAACGATCAGCCGGGATATATACAGATTAGGCCATCGTTTCGACTTCTTTCGCATGCTGTCATGTTATTTTACTACTACTGGGTTTTATTTCAGCTCAATGGTAATCCCTATTACATACAAATCACAAGCTTAAAACCTTAGATTCATTTGAAGAATGTATAACTACGCTGATTTCAAAATGTAGTTTATTTTTTGCGTTGTAGATTTACTCAAAACAAGAAAATACACAGAAAGAACTAAGAAACTATAGTAAGACTTCAAGAGTTGTCAGGATCAACAAAAATTGAAAAGAGAAAAACAGATAAAGAAATAAGAAAAGGGAAAAACTAAAGAAATTAGTGTTCGTATACTTTGACAAGAACTGTCAACTATTTACAATTTCTTTTTGGAAGGATGCATATCTTATGTTACATGGACTCAGACAGGTTGTCAGGTGCAGAGTGTCGGATTTATCTAGTTCTTATCTCCAAGGACACTAGGACAGCTAGATTTCATACTTATTAAGAACTTTTATTTTGCATGTAAAATGATGCTTACAAATTAACATAGAGCATTTTATGCATACAATTGGAATCTTTTGCTTAGTAGTAAAATAAACTCGACTACTTAGGCATACTTTATGGGTACATAGCCAACTAAGCATGCTGGACACATATTCCATACCTTACTCAAGTGTCAAGTGTTTGAGAAGGTTATTTCACAAATTTAGAAGATTCCATGTAACATAGATTATATAGCAATTTTCTCAAAAGAGTGGGATTACTTCTTAAACGTATACTCCAGCAAAGGTTCAAGACAGTAGTAAGAATTAAATTTGAATAACTAGCAGGTTAGTTTTTTATGATACTATTCAGTGTGGCTCAGTTATCTAAGGGTGTTACTTCTGTTTTCTACAACTGTTAGTATTTAGTAATAATACTTTGTGAGAAAAGAAAAGTAATAAAAGAATATTTCAATAAATCGCAGGACTGGACTTACATAGTGCTTTCTTATTGTTTTCTTCTCGATTGCTTATGAACTTCGGATATTTGTTAGGACACTTGCATGAACCCACATCCAATATATATGTTCCTCCTCTTCATTCCATATTTCATACATAAACTATTATTGCAAGAAATCTTTAAAAACTGAACCAGTGCTGCCTCTATAACCAACTTTTTTTTGCTTTAGATCACTTTTGTGTCAGAAGACCTGAAAAGGTACACTTTCATTGGATTTTGAAAAAATATGTGATAGCATCATCCCCAATTTGGAATAAAAAAATATGAGTCACTGTTAGCCTGTGAAAATTTGGGATATACTGCACTTCTCAACTCCAAGTGTATTGGTGATAATATACAGTCCAATTATTGATGAACTGCCTTCTATTTTTTTTCTTTTTCGGGAGAGTGGTGATGTAGTGTATCATGATTTAATTAGGGGTTGGGGGCCTGGGCATCAACTGGTGGGGGGAGGACCTGGGTACCACCACTGAGCTTCAAGCTGTGGTGCTGTTGACAAACTTCTGGATTAGCACAATTTAGGATTCATCGTCCTTACTATAACATAATTCCAAATAAATATGATCTCATTTATGGGAGGTATAAATTTTGAGCTTCTCAGTAAGAGTTGTAGATTAGATTAATTCAGTTGAGATATGTATTTAAGGTTTATGGCAACATCCTAGTGAAACCTGAACTAGCATTCCACATAAAATGACTTAAAAGCTTGTTCAAATATAAATGGCAAATCTAAAAATTCTGGAACAACTTAGAAACTATAGCAGTTTAGTATTGGGTTTCATTTCGTTTCATGTCTCTTTTTCTTTTTCTCTTTTCAACTCACAACTTTTTCTTGTTACTGTGCAGATAGTTGTCTTCACAGTTTATGCATTCTTGTATGGCAGACTCTACCTATCATTGAGTGGATTGGAAAAGGCAATCATGAAATTCGCAAGGTCCAAGGGAAATGATCCTCTGAGGGCTGCCATGGCTTCACAGTCTGTTGTTCAAATAGGTCTCTTGATGGCCTTGCCCATGGTTATGGAAATGGGACTCGAAAAAGGGTTCATAACTGCATTAGGTGACATAATAATCATGCAACTTCAGCTAGCTGCTGTCTTCTTCACTTTCTCTCTTGGGACAAAGGCCCATTATTTTGGGCGCACAGTCTTGCATGGTGGGGCCAAGTACAGAGCCACTGGACGCGGTTTTGTTGTTCGACATGAGAAGTTTGCTGAGAACTACAGGATGTACTCCAGGAGCCATTTTGTAAAAGCTCTGGAACTTATGATACTGCTTATAGCATATCGTAATTACAGCTCAGACCCTAATTCTTATGCGCTTCTCAGTTTCTCAATGTGGTTTCTAGTGGTTTCTTGGTTGTTTGCTCCTTTCCTGTTTAATCCTTCGGGATTTGAGTGGCAGAAGATAGTGGATGACTGGGACGATTGGACAAAGTGGATTAGCAGCCAGGGTGGTATTGGTGTGCCAGCAACCAAGAGCTGGGAGTCCTGGTGGGAGGAGGAACAGGAACACCTGCAGTACACTGGGTTGCTCGGACGCTTCTGGGAAATTGTTCTTTCCCTCCGGTTCCTTGTCTACCAATATGGTATTGTGTATCATCTGCATGTAGCCAATGGTGACACAAGCCTTATGGTATGTGCATCAGCTGTCCTTGCAATGTTTCACTTTTAGCCTTGTGATTCCAACCAAGCATCAAGCTTTCATTAATTTTATTTTTTTTAAAAAGAAAATTAAGATTTCATTCTTGTTACTACTAGCCAGTTAAAATTTTCATCCATTTAACATGCAATGTTTTCAGCATCTTAAGCACATGTATGTACAGAAAAAAGCAAAAAGAAGCTTCAGATAGTATTAGAATTGCTACCTAATTTGCTACTTTAATTACAGGTCTACGCTCTGTCTTGGCTGGTCATTGTTGCTGTAATGATCATCTTGAAGGTTAGTAGTACTCAAATTCTAAAGATTTATCTGCTAACTCTAAATTGTTCTGGATTTAAAAAAAGAAAAAAGGTTCTAATTCATTTATTTATATATATATATTTTTCTGGTTGTACTATAATTTATCAAATGATGTGTCTTTCAACTGCAGATTGTGTCCATGGGTAGGAAGAAGTTCAGTGCAGATTTCCAGCTGATGTTCAGACTTCTCAAGCTGTTCCTGTTTATTGGATTCGTGGTCACTGTGGTCATGTTGTTTGCATTCCTCAATCTTACTGTGGGAGACATCTTTGCCAGTTTACTGGCCTTCATGCCAACAGGATGGGCTCTTCTGCAGGTATATTTCTCACTACGATACATTACTTCAAAGACATTTACTTTACCCTCTACATAGAAGAATATGTACAGAATCTCTCTCTCTCTCTCTCTCTCTCTCTCTCTCTAAGAAGTACGTACACTTCTAAAAAGGTGTCATTTACGTATTGAACACAGGCGCTCATTTAACACTTCTGACACATGTCGAACATGCATCAAAACATGTCCTATTAGTTTTCAATTTTTTTTAGAACCAAACACTTGTGGTTTATACTTATTAATCCCTTCTCCTTTGTTTTTTAATTTTAGGTATTCTAAAACCTAAAACTTCCTATTTCTTAAAGAATTGAACTTTCTAAAATAGATATTAAGATTTTTTGTCACACTTCTTTCTTAATATATAGAATGTGGAAAATATTTTCTTATTATTTTGATATAATAAATTATAGATGAATTGGCAACATAATAAATGAAGAAACTGTTAATTTTTCCATGCATAATAAAGAAACACACACATACATATACGTGTTGCCGCATTCTGCTTCATTCCTGCCATATTGGGTCTTCAATTTTGAAAATTGTCGTGTCACATGTCTGTATCTTTATATATTTTCTTGAATGTGCATGTTTTTTTGAGTGTCTAGCATTTTCAAATTATAGACATATTTGAAATTTGAACTTGATATTTTTCTCAGCTTCTAGTGATATTTAGTAGGCTTTTTCCATTTCAGTCAGAAGCAGAGAAGATGCCTGCAAAACTCATAATTGGCTTTATTGTTCCTAGTCCAATTTGATTCGTTTCCACTATAATTGTCTAGTAGTTACATTATAACCACATCCGATCAAGTACAGTTTTGAGTGTTGTGTTCTTGCTTTGTTCCATATGATATAATATAATATTTGAAGGTGTGGTGTGGTGGTATTTGGCAATATTGCAGATAGGACAAGCATGTAGGCCAGTGGTAAAGGGCTTGGGAATGTGGGGTTCGGTCAAAGCTCTAGGAAGAGGATACGAGTACATAATGGGGGTTGTCATCTTTGTACCTATTGCTGTGTTGGCGTGGTTCCCATTTGTCACAGAATTCCAGACCAGGTTGCTATTCAACCAAGCTTTCAGCCGAGGGCTTCAGATTCAACGCATTCTCGCTGGTGGGAAGAAGCAGAAGCAGAAGTAATTAAGTACAAGTAAAATACTTTCTGCACACAATTTGATTTGTGGGGAGAGAGAGAGAGAGAGAGAGAGAGAGAGAGAGATGCATGATTGCAATGTCAAGTTTACTCAATTGTATATTGATCTCCTCCACTTTCTTCTTCTTCAGATCAGCTATACTGGAAATGAATTTTAATTCTCTTTGGTCTGTGTTGTCATCTCTCTCCTCTCTTTCTCTCTCTCTTGGGCATTTTCATTCATTTACCATGTATAGTGAATACATAATAGTGTGACCTATTTTATCTAAAACGTGTATCCTTCCGTTCCGGTACGAGAAATAGGAACGGAAATAAGAATGTGAGACGTCACATACTTAAAATATGATATAATTAGAATATATTTTCATATATTATATTTATGAATTTAATATATTTTTATAGTAATTTTTTTTGAACTGTTAGGCATCTAATAAAATTTAATTTTTTTTTCATGTAGTAAACCATTTCTATGAGTACTATGATCCATTTTTTATGTTTTGCCTTGTCAAAACTTAACTTATCTTAGATTTTAATTCATTTACATTTGATTTTTTCCCTCCTAAGGAAACATTTAAGGAGATTTACTGGAAAAAAAAATTTGGGATCGTTTCAGATCATTAAATTTATCATTTTGAAACATAAGTGTACCATATTTTGATACGCGGATACCAACATGTAATTCGTTAAGGTATTAACGTTTTCTGGTAACATAGAGTGTAACAATATGCAATAGAGTATTAATTTTCATGTTCTTCTGAATTTGCAAACAGTAAGGAGGAGGGAGGGAGTGAGTTGTCCTATGTTGGAATGTGTCTCACATCGCCTGAAGTTGTCTCATATGTGTTGATTATAAAGTATCAGTTTTTCTCTCTTTAATACTTGAGTTTTAAGGAAAAATGTGACTGGACTTTTTAATTTGGTATCAGAACTTGGTTGGGCTAGTGATTGGTGTGCCGTTTGTCCGGCTATTGTATGTCCTGGTACAGGAGAGTGTTAGAATGTGTCCCAGGAGGGTGTGTTCCCATATCCTATGATTGGTGTGCCGTTTGTCCAGTTATTGTACCTCCTAATCTAAGAGGGTGTGTTGGAATGTGTCTCACATTGCCTGGAGTGCTGTTTGTCTGGCTACTGTATGTTGTGGTCCAGGAGGGTTGGTGTGCCGTTTGTTCAGTTATTGTACCTCCTGGTCTAGGAAGGTGTATTGGAATGTATCCAACATCGTCTAGAGTGTCGTTTATCCGGCTATTGTATATTGTGGTCTAAGAGGATTAGTGTGTCGTTTGTCTGGCTGCTGTACCTTTTGGTCCAAGAGGGTGTATTGGAATGTATCCCATATCGCCTGGAGTGTCGTTTGTCCAGCTACTGTATGTTGTGGTCCAGGAGGGTATGGGTGTGTGATTGGTGTGTCGTTTGTCTGGCTACTGTACCTCCTAGTTCAAGAGGGTGTGTTGGAATGTGTTGCACATCGCCCGAAGTGTCATTTGTTCGGCTATTGTATGTTATGGTCCAAGAGGGTTAGTGTGCCGTTTGTCCTAGGAATGGCAACGGGCCGGGTCAGGGTCAGGGATGACACTCCCCGTCCCCGATTCCCGAAGGTAGAAAAATCCTTGTCCTCCCCGCCGATCCTCGGCAGGGAACCCATCACCTCCCCCGCTCCCATCCCCTAACAAGGATCGGGTTTTCCCGACCCCAAAACATCCCTAACAGATCTGTTCAACACAAAAGAAAAAAAATTCTGTATAATGGACGAATGACAAATCTGTTCAACAAACACACACACACATACACACACACAGAACAACTGTTCAGATCACAACAATCATCAATCAACAACAACAGATATATATAACAACTTTAAAAAAAAAATTGTTCATCAACAACAGATATATATATATATAGGGCAACGTAGGCTTCACGGTTCATGATCTGTTCAGATCAGTGGCAACAAAGGGCTTTACGGACGGAGGGCTTTTTCACTTCTTCAAATTTGTTCAGATCGATGGCAATTGTTCTGAGTCTGCGTGAGTGAGTGAGTGAGTGAGTGAGGAAGAGGAAGAGGGAGAAGGAGAGAGAGATGAAAGAGAGATGGGTGAGACTCAGAGATTTGAGTCAGTAAATGAGGGAGGAAGAAGTGAGGGACGTAGTGAGAGAGTGAGAGAAGTGAAACTGTGAAAGTGAATGAGGTTTGGTTTATATATATATATAGAGGGCTAAAATAGTAATTTCACTTCGGGGATAAACTGGGACTGTGACTGGGACGGGGACGGGTACGGGGCTGGGACACTTATCCTCGTCCCTGGCCTGAAACTGATCAGGGATTAATTTTTGAATACCATCCCCGCCCATTGGGGATATTTTTTGAAAAAAAACCGCTCAAATTGGGGTCGAGGGGTCGGGTCCCCGTCGGGCCGGGTTCGAATTGCCATCTCTAGTTTGTCCGGCTACTGTACCTCCTGATCTAGGAGGGTGTATTGGAATGTATCCCACATCGCCTGAAGTGTCATTTGTCTAGCTACTATATGTTATGGTCCAGGAGGATTGGTGTGTCGTTTGTCCGGCTATTGTAACTCGTGGCCCAAGAAGGTATATTGAAATGTATCCCATATCGCCTGGAGTGCCGTTTGTCCGGTTAATGTATGTTATGGTCCAGAAGGGTGTGGGTGTGTTGTTGCCCAATTTGTTCTGATTATAAGGCTTTAGTTTTTCTTTCCTTAATACCTAAGTTTTAAGGAGAAGTGTGGGTTAGATTTTTCAATTTCCTAATCCACCTCCTTCTCAAAGAAAATTTATAGTAATTTGATTATTTGATTTAGAATCTCAAATTGAATGGCTATGTGGCAGATCTATTGAAAAGAGAGTAGGACGAGATTTTAACCTAAGATCTAGGGTCTGGTAAAGAAGATTCTTACTACTTGAGTGATATACAATATATAATAAATTTTTTGTTTTGTTTTTACTTATTTGAATTGTACACGTGTCACGTGTGCTAACTACTAGTATATATATAAAAAAGAAGGGTCATTCTAGAATACACATCGTTTTGAGGGTGTGTACCATATGTAAGTTATAGTATTTGTGGTATTGATTACCACAAATGTTATAACTAATTACTTTTAGTTATTAAAAAAATAAAACAAAACAAAACAAAATGAGTCATAACCAAATACTGCATAAGGTCTAATCAAATATTTTATTCGATCATAACTAAATATTACAAACATTGTAAACTAAATTTTAAGCTAATCCGGAATGAGACCCAAGAAAGTTCTCTAATATCTATTGTCCAATTACAGAATCTCTAATGGTCGATGTCAGTGACAAATTTAGAAATTAAGCTTAGAGTGTCATGGGGCATGAGCCAGTTTGCTAATTTAGTCCAACTCACAGGTTATATAATAATTTGCAAAGTCAAACAGTCATATCTTTTTATTTTTTTATTTTTTATTTTTAATAGAAAAAGAAGAGTCAGCATAACCTATGAAGCCACACATGAAAAGAAAGGGTTACGTTGAGTACTCTTGCCATTGTCTCAAGGTACGCCCCTCCAATAGTCAACACCTTGATGCCACACACTTGTGTTCTTTGAGGAGTTCAAAATATGCTAAGAAGTTATTTGTGCAAGTGCAACCAAGGGCCCATGCAGCAGTCAAAATAGCCCAAGGCGTGCCCCAGGACAGCCCACGCAACTACCAATGTGCACACACAGGCACCAACAAGCCCACGCTATGCCCAGCATGTGCCTACGCCTACTAGCACACTTGCGCGGGCATGCCCATGCCTTGCTGCGTGTGCACGCCAGTGCCAGACCATGTCTTGCCGTGTGCATGCCCATGCCTGTACTACTAGAAAAAGAAGCATTTGACACGGAACAATTTGCGACGGTTTAGGTGCCGTCGCAAAAGCTTGCTTTTTGCGACGATCTAAGTGCCGTCATGGAATTTATAGTTTTTGCTACGGAAAAAGTTAGACCGTGGCAAAAAGTAAGGTTATATGCGACGGTAGGTTAAACGTGGCAAAATTTTTCTGATTTAAAAATTATTTTCCTGTTTTGCGACGTTCTTTTGGAAATCTGTCGCAAAATTTTACTTTTTTCTCTTTCATTTGCGACGGGCCTTAACATCGTCGCAAATAGTAATTCCTAAATTCGTGCCAAAACCCCCTCCCACTCTCCCTCTTTCCCGATATTCCCAAATTCTCTGTTATCTCTTGGGATCAAAAAGAAAAAAAGCCCTAATCTCACTGCTCTCTCCCTCCCTCTCACCCAATCGTCACTCTATCTCTCTTACAGCGGCAACAGCAACGTCTAGGTGACCCTCTTCTTTCCTCTCTCTCTTGCCCACGCATACCCTCCCTCTCACTCAGTCGTCATTCTGTCTCTCTTGCAGCGGCAACAACAGGGTCTAGGTAACCCTCTTCTTTTCAGTTTGTTTTCATAATATAAGGTTTGTTTTCAAGAAATGTTGGTTTTCATGTGCTATTCGTATATTATTCAACAATACATTTGTCTTGATCTCTAGGTGTTTCCTGAGAGGCAGGGCAAGTGGAAAGCTACGACGCAGTCTAGGGAATTTCTCAAGTCTATCAAGCGATACTACAGTAATGCTTATACTGATGGTGAAAAGCAAGATGTGATTAATTTGTAATCATCTATTCCTGTTGTTTCTTCTCATTGATCCATTATTCTTTCTAGGGGTTGTCACACACAATGCACGTGGTTGTTATATACTACGTAACCTTCCCACCTCCATTTTTGACTGAACCTTCTCATCGTATTTGAAATTTAGCTACAACTGTTCTACTATAGTCTCTCTCTCTCTCTCTCTCTCTCTCTCTAATTGGTTTATTAACTGCATTCTTTGTCCACAACTTCTCACAAATAAAAACTCAAACATGACAATTTTGAAAATTTTAAAATCTATAACTTGACAACTTCATTTTTTTGTTCACACCAAACAGATGTTCTGGCTTTATATGTTAGTATAGATAAATGTTGTTCGAGCATGTGGTGTTATAACTGTACTGAGTTTCCTCTATCCTCAGTATACGGGATGAAAGAAGCCTTTGATTTGAATCACCAGCACATGGTTCCTCACTTAGTTGTAACAAAGTTTCGTGGAAATGTAGGATGCTTCAAATTTATTACTTAATCTTTGTTTGCTGGGTTTATCAGATTTTTAGGTTACTTCCAACCACAGGAAGGGAAACCTGCACTTTGGGTGCTGGATTCTGATTATTATCTTCATGTATCTGGGATAGGAGATGACCTTTTTATCCCGGATAACAGGTAAACCTCAACGTGTTTCAAATTTTTGAGGCATCTCACCTTATATTATTCTCTTGTCTCTCCTTGTAAGTAGTTAAGTTAATCTCAGTTATCTAATTTGACCATCAGAATGGGTAGTGGGAGAGGTATATTGCTTTGCAAGTTTTAATTGTATCTAGTTACTGTTTTATCCTGATCTGACACACCAAAAAAAAAAAGAAAAGAAAAGAAGATTGCTTTATCCTTTAGTTTAACTAAAAACAATTGGTATGGCGTGTTTTAGTATGTTGTACTGTAAATTTTTCAAGAGATTTAGCAAATACTGGGACAAAAGTGTGTCCCTGTGCATTTACACATGTTATATATTTAATGAAATAGGAAGGATCTGAAAAAGCCCATCATGAAACATTGTTATTTTCAACTATAGAATGTATCCAAGAATTCAAATTTGCAAATGTTTTTGAAATTGTGTTAAATTCTGAATCTGAAACTTCTGTTGTTTCCTATTCTTTTTGAGTGGTGATCTCTGATCTGAATGTTTATTTTAATTTTTATGTTTTTATCTAATTACATATAAATGCATTGATTAATTTAAATTCACAGTTCCCTATCTGAGGCTAAGCTTATGGGAGCAAGAACTACTTTTGCCCCTATTTCGGCTTGCAGAGAGGACTTCTCACGGTTGAAGCTGACATCATTTGATAAGTTGATAGAGAGAACATGCAGTTCAATACATAATGTAAGGCTTTTCAGTGAACCAGATCATAAACCTTGGAATTCTGGAGTGGCACCTGATGCAGCGTAATTATCTGCTTGAGCTATGCAAATATCCTTCTTGGTTTAGCATTGCATTTCTTTTCTTTTCTTCATCTAATTCTACTCCTGCAACATGATGGAAAATGTAGCCATAGACCAACAAATCATTGCAGAATATTCTGCTGTAGTTTATTAGTTTTGCATCCATATTTGTCATTAAGTTCTGGATAATTGCTTTTGATTGTTTTTGCTTCCTTGTTCCTTGTGTTCTTTGATGTGGTTGGTGTTATTAATTTATCCTTGGAGGTTTGTGTTTCTTTTAATGTTGCATTTATCTTCTTTTTGGTGTAGAACCTAGTAGAGGGGAGAGGAAAGAATCAACAGGCCACTGCATTAAACACTGACAATACTATTAGAACCAAATCTGATTAATACAATGAAAGACCTATTACAGGCTAATTACCCTAATCAAAATACGAAACTAAACCTATAGAATATTTGGAAACACAATCAAAGTATCCAGACTAGAAATTATTTGAATCCTAACTAAATAATAATTACACCAAATCTACCAATTACTTTTATTTGACCAAATTAAAGTGATATCTTTTTACATGGTCTTAAGTGGGGCATGCAAAGAGTCCCGGGGATTAGTCTTTGATGTTTTTAGACTTGAAAGGGGGTTGTGGGAGCTAGGGTTTGGCTCATGAGAAGAGCAGCACTGCATTTGCCTATTTGGTTGAAGTGGAGTATGAGAACCTTTGGAGGGGAGGGGATGCTGATCCATTTTCTGAAGTATACCTATGTTTTTGAAGTTTGTATTGGGGTTTTCATTTTTTTTCAGACTTGTGTTTGGGTTATTTAAGCTTGTCGTATATTTTCCAGTCCTGCTTATGTATTTAGTGCTTACGTGGGTTTTACCCTCTTGGGGGTTGGGGCATTTCAGTGGTTGCTTTTACTTACCAAAAGAAAGTATGCATACATATTTATTCTTAGTGTATTACCTTTCACTGGTCTGTGACAGTTTGCATTTATTTAGCAAGAATGAGTCAGAAACTTTCCTTTCCTTATTTCTTGGCTGCTGGCTTATTGTTTTGTTTGTATGAGATTGAAAGATAGCTACATCTATGTTCTCTCCAGTAATGTTACATATGGGACTTCAATTTTCTCATTAACTACCCCAGTGCTGAAATGAATTTTGTTTTATGCTGTTGTATTTCTGAATTCGATTACTTAGGCATATGTTATAATGATTACACTGAATTTATTTATTTATTTTTCCCAGTGAAATACAACTCAAAAGTCCAAACTGGCTTTTTGGCCAGAGGAAGTATGAGGAAAGTAACTGTGCACCCAAGGTGGCTTCACAGGAAACTGCAAATGGAAGGTGTCAAGATGAGAAGAGAGTAGATGGCTTGTGTGACCTCAAGTGGCTTTCTTCTGGTGGTGATGTCAATGAAAAGGATGTCTTTAAGAGGTATTTCTCTTCAAAACCATTATTTGTGAATCATATTCTATGAATATGATATCTTTCCAAGTATCCGTCTATCTAATCCCAAGGGGTTTGGCTTGGTGGGAGGAGAAGGCAACCAAAGGGCTTACCACCTAGGAGGTCGCAGGGTTGAATCTCACGAAGGCCAAACATCCCAAACCTTAGGTCCGCTGAAGGTTGGGGTGATCGTTAACTTCAGGGTCCTGGGATTAGTTGAGGTGCGCATAAGCTGGTCCGGACACCTGGTTATCAAAAAACAAAAAAAAGAAGTTATCTATCTATCTATATAAATCTAGTGGATCTAAGTATCTAAATTGGGTACGGGTGTTTGACACATATCTTGGGCCCTTACCTTGGTCATATCCAATGGGGGAAATAGAAGAGTTTACGTAACACAATCCACAGCTAAAGATGCTGCATCCATAGCTCCCTTTGGCCTGTGGAAATACTAGCCTTGTATGCATGTTAATAAATATTAGAAATATATGTATTTGTATGGTTGAAAGAATCGCACACTTACAGATATTCGAACCATTACATGGGTGTAACTTTGCAGTTTATTGTGATTATATCATGTGCTATCCTAACACTCATTCATTGATATGATGTCAAATTTTGTCTGAAATTTGTGTTGTATATCTGAGTGTAATATATTGGTGATTAGGGTTGCAAACGAAACGAGCCGAGCCGAGCCGAGCTTTGCTGAGCTCAAGCTCGGCTCGTTTACTTATCAAGCTCGTTTATTAAGCTCGAGCTTAGCTCGATAAAGAACTGGGCTCGAGCTCGGCTCTTTTCGTTAATTTTAATAAAACTTGAGTTCAGCTCGGCTCGATAAATTTTTTTTAATATTATTTATATTATTTAATATATAAATAATGTATTTATATTATTATTTATATATATTTATATATTATTTAATATATAAATAATATATTTATTATATAATTTAAATAAAGATAAACAAACTGAGCTTATACGAGCTTGAGTTCGTCTCGTTTACTAAACGAGCCTAATATTCGAGCTCGAGTTCGAGCTCGGCTCGGTTTCTAAACGAGCCGAGCTGAGCCGAGCGATGAACAGCTCGATTCATTTGCAGCCCTACCACCACTGATGATATCGTCATGTGATATGATATGAGTTTTATACCTAATATTTACTCTCCGTTAACCAAGATTTTCTTGCAAAAATAAATAAATAAATAAGTAAAAAGACGTGCAAGTTGTGTACAATGTTTGAATTTTAAATTTGTAGAGAAAAGAGAAATTGAAAAGATAAATAGAACAAATGAAGTGAATTTTTTTAAATTTTACATTAGTTTGATTAGGTTATAAAAATGGGGGAAAATAATGAATAATTGTAAAAACAATTATTTCTCCTTGATTGCCCCCCAAAAGTAAATATATAACATTACAAATTCAAAATCTAAACGTAATGTTAAAAAAATAGAATGGTACTCTTGTTATATAAATATCTTTAATGGATTCTACATATCCTAATATTTGTAGCTCAAATTTTGTTAAACTCATATGATTAGATACGCCCTTACATTCAATTTACTATATTATACCTATAAAATAATGAAATCTAAGCCCGTTCATTTGTTTATTTTTTTTTTGTACAAAGGAAATAAAAACAAACAA